ACTTCTTAAAAAAAATCGTTTGCCCAGCCTAACAGTGTTGTTGTTATTGTTTTTATCCTGTAAAGTGCTTTGAGGAGCCTTTATCAATGGGTTGTAATTTAAAAAAAGTCAAAAACTGCACTCAAAATGCAATTTAGAGCTTTCTGGCAAGAGGAGACACCCGAATTAATAATGTAACATGCCACTGTTTGAGCATGAATAAGGTTATACTGCTATTTCCTTAGATACGTGATTCCATTTTTTTTTGAATCCCCGGCGGAACCGGGCATCCATAAGAATCAGAGCTTTTATATAGCGCCTTTAAAGGTGGCTACTTAAAACGCTTTACAGGATAAAAACAACAATAACAACAACAACAACAATATTGTATTTCATTGCACTTTGACAGATCGTCCTTAAATCAATTTTTGATTTAAAGTTTGACAGTAACCCTAACTTTAACCCTATTTTATTTTTTCAAAGAAATATTTGTTTAAAAAAAGTCATGGTTACAGCTGGATTTGAACACCCAACATGTGATGTATAAGTAGGGAACCTAACCCACAGCCCCACTGGCAAGGTCACATGTGGAGTGTTGAAAAAGCCCTACAGAAACAGTATCAACAGACATTGTATAGCGTGTACTATTCTTGTGTTGCAGTACATGAATGTAATTATATCGTTATTAATTTCTTTAGATACACGATTCCATATTATATCCCTTTTAATCAAATTCTAAAAGTATGCTTGTTGACTCCGGAATCACATTAGTTAAAGACTTCGATGCTTAAAATGTTTAGGGAGAAATGGAATACTGGTGTGTATTTTTTCTTTAAAGTACCGAGACCAGCCATATACTGTATGTTTATGTTCCGAAATTAATATCGTTTATGGCCTTCACACACGTTACAGTATGCTCCTATTCTTTTTATGCTCAGCTACTAAGATTCCCCTTCAGTGGTAAAATTCCATTAAAATATTCAATACTAAAATGGGCACAGTAAAGACATTTAAATCTTTCTACGACGGACCAACACACCACGTTGACCTGTCGGTCAAGAAATCACGTACCGCAGTATTTTGCGTCACGATGCGCGAGGCCGTAGCCAATAACCCGCAGTACGTGTCTGTGCCGCGTACTTTGAATGGCTGCATCTGTATCTATAGTGATGGGACCACAGTGGAGAGGGTCAGCATTTTTAAATTCCTGGGAGTTAACACCACGGAGGACTTAACCTTGACCCCCACACCAACATTGTGGTCAAAACAGAACAACAGCGCCTATTCTTTCACAGCAGGCCAAAGACGTTTGGTATACCATCACATATCCAGGCCAACTTCTACATATGCACTATTGAGAGCATCCTGACAGGTTGCAGCACTCCCTGGTATGGGAACTGCTCCGCCTGGGATCACAAAGTACTGCAGGGGGTGGTGAAGTCAGCGCAGCTCATTACCGGCTGTGAGCTACAAAACATCCAGGATATCTACTCAGCTAGATGTCTTAAGAAGTCCAGGTCCATTCTCAAGGACCCCAGTCATAAACATACAGTTTTCATTGTATTCAGCATACTGCACTACTTGGACATAATATATTGCATACACCATGGACATATAGCAGCTCTATTCATATTGAGTTTTGTCTGAGTTTATTTTATTCAATTTCTATTATCATCTGTTATTATGTAACCTTATTTTGTAACTTTAATTTTGTGATTCCCCCTGGTGAGATCGTAGAAAATATATTTTATTGCAAGCAACTTCTGCTGCATGCTGTATTGTTGTGCATTTGATAAATAAACTCTGATTTGATTTGATTTTGATTTGAGATGCAGCCATCTTTTAATACACATCAAAATTTGTGCTAGCGGAAAGCACACTGCTCTATACTACAGTTTTGTCTGGCAGGCCACTTTCAGCTATTTTCTGCTCAAAATAGGTTAAGTGGCACTTGTTTTGTCTTGATGTTACTGAAATGGTAACTTCATTTAATCTTTTTTATGAGAGGAGGAGGCTTGAAGTTCAGCAATACATACAATTTACAGTGCTTAAGGCATTTTATTAATGGAATGTAAATAATTTCTTTCAACTTGAAATCTTTTAATTATCATTTAACAAAGCTTACTCACCAGTTAGTTTTATATCTGAAACCATCATTAAACAAAGCAGGCGCTTATTGTACTTCCTAATGCCATTACACGTGGAAAGATTATACATTTTAATAGCTTTTAATTTTTATACATTTTAGAAAAGTTTCATCTTTACAAAACTTTGTTCAAATATACATTAAATCTGATTCAGATTTATCAGAAAATAAGTAAAATACAAACTTATACAATAAAAAAGAAGGTAAAATATAATTTAAAATTAAGACAGGATTAACTTTTTTCTGTCTGTATTTCTCCCTTCTCTCTCTCACCTGCTGCGATTTAGACATAGAATTATTAAAAATGGGAAGAAGTCAGACAGCCAGAGGGAAGGGGGATGGGGTAGTCTTCCCACCCCTATGACTTAAGTGCCAAAGGCTTAAGCAGCATACAGAGCCGAGAAAGTTTGATGCTGTCCTCTACGCTTTAAAGGTACCCTCCTAATGGAAGAATTTTCACTTTGAACGTTTGCCCACCCACTAACATGCAGACACAAACTGAATAACAATACAAAATTTATTTGCAAGAACAGCAATTACTGACGGTTAAAAAATGTACTTGTACTACTTGTAGTAGGTAGGTAGGTCGGTCCCCTTTTCAGGTCATAAAGGTCCATGGGGAATGCGGAGCAAGGACCACCATTTTTTTTAACCATCCAACACTAAAAGTGGAGGTGATGTGGTCAGCATCACGCTTCAGCTTGCCTATTACCCCCAGAAGGATTAACCCCAGGTACTCATGTGGAGAGCAGGCTGAGTGGACCTGGGAGCCATCTGGAAGGAATTAGAGCAAGCTACATCACTTTCCCCTACCTCAGATTGAACCAAGGACCTTCCAGTCAGAAACATGATGCCTTTGCTGTCTGAGCTAGCACAGCTCCAAGATCATAGTAATACACTATTATATAAAAACTAAAACTCTATGGGCACTACACTGCGAGGGACGCTGCTCACTAATCCCATTTCCCAAAACCTTCACAGGGGCAACAGGGCTAATTCACAGCTGGATACAATTTTATCTTACCTTGTGAAACTAAAAATCCAGACATTTGTCAACATATTTACTAAAATTATCCAACTCAGTAATCTCACTGTGTGCCCCGGTGCTCACTCAGTTTTCACACTTCAAGTATAATAGCACGCTGGGCAAACGTTCAAGGTCAAATTCTTCCATGAGGGGGGTACCTTTAAAGCAGAGATGACGCTACCCAAAATCTTGTGGCGCGCCCTCTCTTTAAAGCCCTGTACATACAAAGACAGTACATACAGTAGTAATTCAAACTGAATTAAAAACTACACATCCCAGTTAACATGACAGTGCTTGTGATCTTTGCATTTAACCTACGAAACTGGGTGAAAAATCAATCACATGATGTTGGGGCAGAGTTTTGAAAGCTTAACCTATCAGCAAACTGTCAGTAACACGAATGTGTATGTCGCTTAAGCCACTTCTATTTGGCTTTTTAGTTAATGAGGTGGGAAGGCAGGAAGCCTTCCGTCTGGGTGGCTGACTTGTCTCCATCTTTAACCATTCCATTTCCAATTCGCAGTAGCGAGAGACACACGAAAAAGTTATCCCAGCTACAATACAAATATATTTTTGTGGTAAGGAGGAGAAAAACATCAGTATTTACTGCTACTAATCAGTGTAAATCTGATTCTAAATCTAAAGTTAAAATCTTGATAAACAAAGCAATGTACAGATGCAGTCATTCAAAACAAGTGGGGTATGCTGCGGCATAACACGGTGGGCATGTCGCATCAAAACGCGATATAACGCATCATTCTACGTCATACCGCAAATTACCATATGCAAATTACCATATGCAATTATGGTATTCAATCTTTATTAAATTAACTGAGCAATCTTGCTTTCATAAAACATACCAACTTTTTAATGTAAGATGATAAACATGCTGTAATACACAGTTTACATTTAAAAGTCTAAAGAGTATACAACTTAAATTCAACTCAATTGAATAAAGATTGTCCCTCAGCAGTGATCAAGACTCGAAACCGGCATTTTCTGGTGACAGCTTAAATGCTGTACAGGAGAGGTAAAGCTTTATTAGCTCCTCCTGGCGGTTTTACAAGGTGATTCTGGATACTATTAACATAATCTAATTTGCATATGGTAATTTGTTGTATGATGTAGAATGATGCGACATGCCCACCACGTTATACCGCAGCATACCGCGCTTGTTTTGAATGGCTGCATCTGTATGGATACTGATGTGCAAGACGGCTCCTGATGAGACACTATGGCACATTGCCAGGGCATGCTCTGTTTGGCTTTTTAAATTGTATTTTAGCTTAGTGTTTTTTTTTATATTTGTGACAGATTGTACATTCCAGGGTTGTTGTAGCAGTGCATGCTGTGAAATACTAAAGAAGTTGTAGGTTATAGTTCATGTTTAAACTAGGAGACTCCGAGTGCTTACTGTGAATACTTATTACTCCACTCAGAAAGAAGCTGCAGCTTTCTCACTATAGGAAAAATGTAAACCAAAACAAACCTAAACCTTTCATCATACTGTACACTCAATACCTAACCTAAATAATGAATTAAATATTTAAGTACTGCTAGTGACTGAAAGCACTTCATAATTATATTCCATCTTAACCAACAACACCTAGAGCTAAGTATGTTTAATCCAAGGGATAAGTACAAAATAAGATACAATGCAGAGGATTTTATATAAATTACATCTTTTGCTAGAATGAAAGTACCTGTTTCATGTCTCTATTAGTAAAAAAACACCATTCCTCTAGCAGTAATGTTATTAATATTATTATTATTTTTTAAAAAAGCAGAATAAAAGGGCGATGATGAAAGTGGACTCACTAGACTCATCTACAACTATGGCACACTTACTTGTTTTGCACTGACACAAACGGCAGGCCTTCTGGTCAAGTCTAAAGCCATATATGCAATCCTTTTCTGTAAGAGTGCAGTTCTCCAAGAGCCTGCAGGATGGAGGCCCAATTGTTATATATGTTGGTTCTGTAAAACAGGAAGTTTTGAATAACTTGGTGAGTGGGGAAGTGCATTCAGCTGCAGTTTATATCTCAATTGCTCCTGAAAACACCTGTAGCTTAAATAAAGTACCCTGGACTTATGGATACAGACACTCAGACTACGTCATTTCTTCCAAATGCATTACCTGTAATACAGCGAGTTATGTTATGCAATTCACTGGCTATAAACAATAGATGAGTTGCACCTGTGGTGCATTAGATGTGTAAGGAAACCGGCTCAGGGACGCCAAATATGTAATGTAGTGGCTCTCTGAAGGCACCAGTTCTGTAGGGTTTGGGCATTTACTGGGACAATTATTAATTGTAGCAGTAAATCACAAAGTTGATTCTTTTGATGGCTTTAGAATCCAACCATTCGAC